CTGGTGGGCCATTGTGTTGACGCCCCAGGCAGCTGTGCAGAACCCCAGGGCTCCGTCTGAAAACTGCTCTGTGAAAGCCCAACTGGGGGAGTCTTGTGCACAAAGATATCTTGTCTCTGAAATAGAAGTTCTCAAACTTTTTTGAATTAAGAGTCACTTGGGACTCTTGTTTAATGTGCAGATTCCTGAGGCTCAATGCCAGAGACTCACACTCAGGAAGTCTTGCGTGGGGCCTGGGAATCTGTATTTTAGCAGGCGTCCCAGATGGTCCTGGTGCCAATATGGATAGATCATGAAAAACACTGCTCTACAAGCTGCCTGCCTTTCATTGACTTCATCTTATTCTCACTTGGTCCCAGTTTATTTTGGGTACTTAGTTTATAATTGTCAAATACCATTAAAATAGTTTTTTCTTGCCCAGGGAAACAATATCTTAGTTACCTCTTCTGTCATCTCCCAGTTTAATTCTCTGTTCCTGTTCCTGGAGCACCCCAGATGTGGCATGGCTCAGCCCCCTCTGGTGGGTCTCTCCATCTGAGGTTCCCATCAGCTTTGTCCTTCCTCCAGCCCTTCTGGGTTTTATTTGTTTGTTTGCTTGTTTCCTCTTTTTTTTTTTTTTAAGGCAGATGTCTTTAAACCTCCCCTTCCCCAACAAACAAACCCAAAATAGAAGTTAAATAATGGTTGTAAGTAAATATAAAACTGACTTCTTGATGTGAATACAGCTAACCAGTAAGCATATAAATGCTCTCATGTGGCAAGGTGCTAGGTGTTCTGGGGGATACAAAGAAATATAAGAAAAATTCCAAATCAGTTATGTTTTTAAAATAAAGCCTACAAGGAGACAACACCACTTGAACGATGATAATCAAAAAGACAATACCAAGTGTTGGCAGGGATGTGGAGAAACTAGAACCGTCATGCATTGCTGGTGGGAATGTAAAATGGTGCAGCCACTTTGGAAGACAGTTTGCTGATATCTTAAATAGTTAAACTTACCATTTTAGGCCAGCAATTCACTCTTGGGAATCTACCTAAGAGAAATGAAAATATGTGTGTGAATGTTTGAAGCAGGATTCTTGATAATAGCCAGAAACTGGAAACAATTCATATGTCCATCAAGTGATGAATGGATAAACAAAATGTGGTATATCCATACATTGAAATATTAATTCAGCAATGAAAATAAATGAAGTACTGAAATATGCTACAATATGGATGAACCTCAAAAACATTATGCTAAGTGAAAAATGCCAGACGAAAGGCTATCTATTCTAGGATTCTATGTATAAGAATCTAGAAAAGGCAAATTTGTAGAGACAGAAAGCAGATGTGTGGTTGCCTGGGGCTGCTGATGAGGGCGGGGGCTACCTACAGATAGGCCTGAGATGACTTTAGGATGCTAGAACTGCTCTAAAACGGGATGGTGGTGATAACTGCACAGCTCTCTAAATTTACTAAAGTCATTTAATCATACATTTATAATGAGGACAGTTTATGGAATATAAATTTTACCTCAATAAGGTGGTTAGTTTTTTTTAAATAAGGCGTATAGCCTAACTGAATAATTGATAGTTCTTTTCTATGCAAAAGAAGTAGACACGATAGTCAAATGTGGCCTGCACACCCCAGGGGTCCCAGAGGCTGTCTCAGGGAGTCCTTGAGGTCATTTTCCTAACAATACTAAGAAGCTCTTTGCCTTTTTTGGCTGTGTTGACATTTGCACTGATGGTGCAAAAACAGCAGGAGGTAAACGGCTAGTGCCTTAGCACAAACCAAGGCAGTGGCATCAAGCTTATTAACAGTCATTGTGTTCTCCACCACCAGGCACTCGTAGTGGAAGAATGCATTCCATTTTCACTTCAGAATGTACTTGATGAAGCAGTAAAAATTACTTAATTTTATTAAATTTTGTGCCTGGGTGCATCTGTTTTTAACAGTCTGTGTGATGAAATGGGAGATCGGCAGAGAGCATTTCTTCTGCATACCCAGTAAGAGGGTTATCTCGAGGAAAAGCCCGTCTGCAGCTGACGGAGTTGCAGGCTGAACTAGCAGTTGCTTTTTATGGAACACCATCTCTCCTTTGGAAAAAGAAAATGCCTGACAGACAAGTTATGGAGATTCAGGCTTGGGTATTTGGCAAACATTTTCTTAAAAATGAATGAAGGGAACCTGTCACTTCAAAGAAAACAATGGGCAGTATTTGTTGCCAGTCATAAAATTCACACTTCAAGCCAAAATTAGAATTTTGGAAATTTGATACGACCACGATCTTGACAGCTTCTGTCAAGGTATTTCTGATGAGATTGATGATGATTTTAACAAACTGATTTTTCCATATTGTATAATGAAATGTGTCAAAATTGGGAGAATATAGGTAAAGGGGTCTTAATACTAAAAAATTGGAGAACTGCTGGCCTCGTGGCTAATAATAGCATGGACTCTGGGGCCATTCTGCTTGGGTTCAAATCCCAACGCTGTCACTTACTACTTACATGATCTCAGGTAAGTGTTTCACCTCTCTGTGCCTCAGTTTCCTCGTCTATGAAATGTGGATAATAAACGTACCTATCTCGGAGAGGTATAGCGGGCATAAAAATGAGTTAGTATATGTAAATCACTTAGAACAGTGGCTGACTTACCATGAGTGCTCAGTGAGTTCATTGAACTTGATGAGTGGTAATTTGAAAAAACAATACACTATGAATACATAATAGAAATTTCTATTTAATTATATATGCTTTTTTTTTTTTTTTGGTAACTGGAAACTCTGAAGCTGCTTTTGCTCCCTTTCTGCCTCTCCTTTGGTCTCTCGCTTCCTGGAAGTACACACCTGTGTGATGTACTGAGAGGTGACTTCTCTCTCCTGAGCATGAGCACCGTGCCCATCCAATGAGTCTCTGTTGATTGGGGGGTTCACCATGTGTTTTTAAGGAAGATTTGGTGAGGCAATGTAATTACGAAAGGTATAGTTTAATAAATTGAATATAAACAATATAATTGTATATCATTTATAATCTTAGAATTGGAAGCCACTTTCCTGCCTCAGCAATGTTTAAAATTACTGTGTATCATTTAAGCTCAAAGAGTTCGGGAAATTATGTGAATAAAGAAAAGGTATAAGGTTCTGTCATATCAAATGTGTCCATTTTCAATGCTTAATCCAAGCAGACAGAAAGTTTAAGGGAAAAAATGACTAACCTGGGAACCTACGTCTTCAGTCCTGCAGAGACTACATATGAGCTATTTTTATCTCTGACTGTTACAAAGAAGTTCATCATTTGTTGACATCATTCATTCACGCCACCAATATTTGATGCGCCCCTCCTGTGAAGTGGCAAGCCCCTAGCCAGGCTCTGTGGCCCACTGGGTAGAGAGGACATGGCTCTGCCCTCCTGGAGTTTAGAAATTAGAGTTTTCTAATTTCTCCCACTTGCTTTGTAAATAAGGTAATTCATCTCTTGTTCCTTGACTACATGAGCAGAGAGAACAGTGTTTATTTTATACTTTTTAAATGTTCATGAAAACGTTCTTAAGTCAAGCGGGAGATAAAGAAGGTAAGATAGACTGCAAAAGAATTATAATGGGGGCCCGGCCCCATGGCCAAGTGGTTCAATTTTCGTGCGCTCCGCTTCAGCAGGCTAGGTTTGCAGGCTCAGATCCCGGGCCTGGATGTACTCCACTCATCAGCCACTGTGTGGAGGTGTCCTACATACAAAAGACAGAGGAAGATTGGCACAGATGTTAGCTCAGGGCTAATCTTCCTCAAGCAAAAGAAAAAGAGGATTGGCAGCAGATGTTAGCTCAGGGGGAACCTTCCTCAGCAAAAAAATTTAAAAAATTAAATTAAAAAATTTTTAAAAAGAATTATAATGATTATTTCTTTTCCTAGAAGATCACAAAGAAAATTACCCTATGTTTTGGAGTACTCATGTTAAGCTCGTGTTTAATGGCAAATAACAAACAACCACAGCGTGTCAGTCACTGGAGTTTCACTGGCTTAAATGGCTTCTGCTGTCCTAAGGGAAATATGAACTCTTGAAGGAGTTCATTTGGGGACCATCTGTTTTATGTGCCATCTCACACCATTCTGCATGTGGTGAGAATGGTGGGTTGACCCACAGGAGTTTTTATTGCTTTCCCTAGCCTGGGTCTTTAATTATTGCCACCCCTCAGGTTCCTGGAGTGTATATAGTCACCGGTTAAATAGGTTTAGAAGAGTCCTTCCTTTCATTTGGGGGTATGTTTTGAGAGCAAATGAGAAAGCACCTTGAATATTTTTTTTTAAAGATAATGTTGTAAAAAGACAGAGCAGCCGTATTAATGAGAGAGTGTGCTTACTGATGGGCTTGAATTTTAAGATTTGAGCGTGTTTCTTTCCCACGTGGCTGGTATACTAGGAATGAAAAACGAGGTCAAGCTACAAGCCAAAGAAGGGCTTCTTGAATAGAGGCTAGTATTGAATTTTATTAATTCAATTGAAGTCAATCCCAATATTTGTTGCAGGTGGACAATATTAGTTATTTTTAGTCATGTTCCTGTCCATGTCCCTGCTAGGGCCTCGTGCAAACTTTATGTCTCAATAACTGCAGTTGTCTTTTCCACGTGAAATGCACTGGTCAGTTAACCTAGGCAAGTAAACAATGGCTGTGATCATGCTACTGCTGCTGTTTGTGAAACTGGAATCTTCTGTTCTTTGATTCTCTTACTATTTTCAGCAACTCCACCCACCCAAAAATCAAATGTTAGTTGCAAATTTTCTAAAAACCTTCCTCTCTATTATAAAGCTGATTCCTCTTTTCATGACAGTGGTCCCTGTGAAAACATCTGGCGATTCTCGCTGTACTGTGTAACATCTGTGCAAGGACTTTTGTCGTTGTGAAGTAACCAACTGTGGAGGGTCCCAAACAAAGCTAACATTTCTGTGATGAAAATCCAGGCTGTTGTTGAATTGCTGATTCTCATCTTGTCTTTTGCATGTGTGTTTTTATGTGTTTCAGGAAAAAAGTGCCAGTTCAAATGTAAGACTTAAAACCAATAAAGAGATTCCAGGATTAGTTCATCAACCCAGAGCAAAGTAAGTTCTCGTTCCTATTTTTCTTTTATTGTGTTTTCAGAGAGACTTCCATTTTGAGTACCTGGTAATCGAGACTTATTACAAAGCTCCAGTAATTGAGACAGTGTGGTTTGGTCTAATGGAACAGAACAGAGAGTCGCAGAACGGGCCCACAATAGATGACAGAGCCGACATTTCAGATCAATTAGAAGAAAATAAAGGGGAATATCTTTATGACTGTGGGATAGGGAAGAATTTTTAATAGATCACAAAGGATGCAAATCTTAAGGAAAATGAGTGATTAATATGACTGCATTAAAATTAAGAACTTCTGTTTATCAAAATATACCATAGGAGAGTAAAAGCCTGCAAAATGATGGAATATATTTACAGCACTTTTATTGACAACAGTTGAGTTTCGAGCATATGTAAAGTAATTCTACAAATCACTAAGTAAAAGACAGAGAATTCATAGAAAAACAGGCTAAAGACATGAAAGCCATTTGACTGAAAAGGAAACATGAATACTTAATGTATATTAAAAAATACCATTTCGTACCACAAGATAGGCAAAAACTCAGAAATCTGACAATACAAAAGGTTGACCGGCATATGAAACGACAGGCATTCTTGAGCCTTGCTGGTGGGGATATAAACTGGTACAATTACTTTGTAAAACAATTTGCATTATCTAGTAAAATGGTTCCTAGACTTATATACCTTACCCCCAGCAATTCCACTCGCAGGTGTATACCCTAGAGAAACTCTTGTACCATCCGCCAGCAGACTTATTTTGAAATGTCTGTTGTTTCTGTGAGCTCTTAAGGCTCTTGAAAGTAAAACTCGAATGTCCATCAAAAGTATAATGGGTAACAAAAATGTGGCCTATTCTTATGATGGGAATACTATATACCAGTGAAAATGAATGATCTATAGCTACAGATATCAACATGAAGGAATCTCATCAATGTTGTGGCAGTAAAGTAAGCAGTAGTAGCAGCCTATGTGCAGTTTCATTCATATAAAGTTCAAAAACAGGCAGAACTAGGCAATATATTATATATGTATGTATATGGTAAAACAATAAAGACAAGCAAGGAAATGAAAAGGCATTGAATTCAGAACAGTGGTTCTTTCTGACTGGTTGCGAGACAATAGGACCGGGGTTCTATTTTTTAATCTGAGGAGTGATTACATGGGTTTTCCTTTAATTATTATTATTTAAAAATGTACAAATAACATTGTATGTTTTCTTTTCTATGTGTTATGTATTTCACAATTAAAAAGTTAAAAGAGACTAATGGGTAGTTTTCTAGATTGTTCTAGAACCGGTTCTACCTTGGTGATAAAATGCACTTTGTGTGACTTGGAAGCTGCCTCGCCTTTCTTCAAAGATGCTCTGTTAATCCCAGAAGCTACAGATCTCTTTAGTGTTGTTCCACCTAAATAGGAACAGATTCCCGCAGGGTGCTGATCACACTAGAACATTTGACACAGTCACCCCCCCACCCCAAAATAAATTCGACTATGACATAAATGTCATAGTAGCCCCTGAATCAAACTCATAAGCAGAAGAAGTTGTGTTATTTCTGGTTCTTCCCAGGAAATTGAGACAAAAATAACCTAGTTCATAATCACTTTCACCTGGCTCAATGGGATGTCTATGGGATGGCTGCAGCCACGGCCACCATGATGTGGCAGTTAGGACTCTTCCAGGGTGGTGAGTGAGCTCAGTGGCTTAATTTTTTTATTTTCGAAGAAAACTGGACATTTTAAAATCCACTTATCATTTTCAGTGTCAGAATAGTGGTACAACCAGTTTTGGTACTCTTCGTTACACGTCATGCTGTGATCACAGCCTTCCTGGACCACTTCACTGGTAATCACTTTCATCTACACTCATTTTATCTGCCTTTGGGGACAACAGATATCTGATGACACAACCAAATCATTTTTCCTCCGAGCCCTTTGGTATATGCTATTTCTAAACGTGTCCCTATTTCTGAGTTCTAAGAAGAGGGACTGTATTAAGGAGAATTTCATTTTTCCTTTATGGAACGAATGCTTATTTAACGCTGACACACTGCGACAGCACGCTTTGCAGACTGGCATGTGCTGAAGCTTTCAGAGAAGCTGGCTAAATTGGCTCGTGTTTACATTAAAATTGTGAAGAAAATCCTCTGTTTTCTACACAGCAGCATGCTCTCGTGTGTGTGTGTGTGTCTATTTTAAACTGTGAGTCAGAACATTGCGTTCCTGGAATTCAACTACGGAATCTTTCTGGAGGGACAAGAGAAGAGTTTTACCTTTCCAACTTGCTGACATAGAGGATCAAGGAAACTGTTATTTATTATGCAGTTGTATAAAATAAGATAGTGAGGTTTTTTTCTCATGAGTGGAAGGACAATTCCATACCTGATAACGGCAGATTTATTCATAATAAAGGCAGATAATCCTCACACCTTCATTTGATGCCACATGCAGAGCATATTCCTACTGACTTTGTGGTGTCAGGCAAGTGACCTCATGTTTCTGAGCTTCAGTTTTCTCAGAGAAAAATGCAGGTGAAAAATCCTGTCTTCTAGGGCTGGGGATTAAATGAAATAACATCTGCCCGGTGCTTATCACTGTGTCTGATGCTTGGTAAGAACACTGTAACAGTTACAGACAGTCCAAATGCCCTTTAACAGGAAACTGGGTAAAATGAACTGCTTCGCGTTCACACCTGGCATATTAGCAGTTTTAAAAAGAATGTCCTGCAGCGGTGCACAGCGCTGGAGGGACCCTAGTCATGTCGTGCTGGAAGAAATGAGTCCATCCTGAAAGATTACGCAGGGCATCATGCACTCTTTATAAAATTAAAAACAACTGAAATAAATCATCTGCTTTTTAAACACAGAGAGAGACCAGTAAAGCGAGCTACAAGGAAAGTGAGGGTATGATGGATGGTTCCTCGAGTGGAGGAGATGCACGAATGGGTAGGAAGTGAGTCAGCACTAGGTTGTGGTCAAGGTCTTAGCTTTTGGTTTTGGTTTTGGTTTCATGTGTGCTTTTTATATCTTTTTTAAAAAACAAAATAACTATCTATGTAAAAGTGAGCCATGCGTCAACTACTGGCAAGGGTGTGTGATGATGGGAAGATTAAGATTAACCCACTTCCCTGTGGTCCAGTTGAAAAATAATAATAATGATCATGAAGAAATAACTGTGTTCAGGCCAGGATTTGCCAGAACCCACTGAGTAACTGAATTTCACTTTCTCAGGTGAAGTGTTAGGGAATTAGCACCTTGCCTTCTCATACTTTTGTGGCTTAGGTTTTTATCATTTGGAAACTTTTTTTTTAAGTCACTAAAAATGAAAGCCATGTCTCTTTCAGCTCTAAATCCCATTTTGCCCACCTTTCATTCATTTGATTACTTGTTATCAAGACTCCATAATGTTGTCATCTCTAGTCTCATGAAGCTGAGAAGTCACAGAAAGAAGAGCCTTTGATGGCTCAGAGTAACTCACAAGAGCTTTGCCAGCGCCAACTGGGGGCCACAAGAAGTGCTCCAGGGGAGCATTGTCTTTTCCAAGGTTGAATTTTAGTTATTAGAGAGAAATAACAATTACTGAAATTCTTAAGCTTTATTGCTTAAATCAAGTACCAAAATACAGGCCTTTATGAAATATTTTTAGATCTAATTAAGCTTAGTATCAAATATTCAAACTTCATAAACTAAATCATAAACAATTCAATTATCCCCTTCTTTATCTTGCGGAAAGATAGAAAAGCCACTGTGCTTTTTCTCCTCCCACTTCCCCTCTTACAATCATCAAATTGTGCATCAGAAATGATTTAAGAATTGAGCTGTTACCTCAACCTAGGGACTGTTTTTCACAGTGCAGTGTGTACTCTTGAATGTAAAAACTAGTATTCACGCCACTGTGTTGATTGTTTCCACATGAGAAGAGGGCATCCACATTTATCTGGGCAGGAGTGAGTTGATAGGGATAATTTATTTCATCAGAGTAAAAGTTCTGCTCTGCCCTTGTTGAAGAGATTTCAGGAACAGATGTCTCCCTGAAACCAACCCATGGAGGGTGGCAGAGTGAGCCTCATGCGTTGGGGTTACACTATACCTAAGATGACGCACAGGTACCAAGGACCTTGTGTGGGCGTTTGCTCCATCTGGCAGTGTCGGCCACACTCCAGGGACAGCGGAGTTTACCTGAAAGAGCTCATTTAGTGCATCAGGATTTGATAATAAATAAGACACTCCTCCATTCAGTCTTTTTTGTTTAACACAGTCCACATACTGTATTTCAGGATGGCAGGATAGTGAATTATCTGCTGGGTGACTCTTCTCGGTAGATTTTGAATGATGTTCTAACACTCTTAGACGAAGAAAAAGCAGACAGCATTTCTGTATCAGTGTGGTGTGATGGTAGAGATGCGCTGGATTGAAAGAAAGCTAGTTGCCTACATTGGTTAGATTTGTTTTTCAAAGGGCACATATGAAAATGAAGATGGTAATTCACTTCCTGACCATTGTACCCTCTCTCCCGGAGTAAGGTAAATGTTTAGTTCAAGATTCAGATGGGGTTGAAAATACACTGTCTTGTCTAATTATTTCTGGATTGAGTGGCTTTTGTTCAGTTTGCTTTAATTAAGGAATACCTTTTTTAAAAATGGTTAGAAAGTATGTAGTTAAACTACACAAAACTGACCCCACTGAGGTTTTTGTGCTTGCTTTACTGTATATGCATCCGGAGGTCCTCATCATCACCTTTGGTCTCGGGGTCCTCATGTGGACCCCTGAGCCTGTGCCTTCTTGGTCACAGGGATGACAAGACACTTTTGCAGAGTCGCTTTTAATTAAGACTTCCCCTCCTGTCCATCTCACGTGCACGTGTGTGAATACTAACCAAAAGCCCTGTTTTCATGTTGTAGTATTTCAATAAAGGAGTAATGGAAGTTAGTAACACTCACAGAAATGTTAGCACTGGGAGGGACCTCAATGACCAGCCCACTGGTTTTATAGATGAGGAATCTGAGGCCTGCACCTCACCCATGCTAACAAACTGTGCCACCTCTGTCAGGGGTCATGAATCACATAAATTTAAATAGAGAGCACTTGGTCAATTAATTAAATATGTATTGCCCTCCTGATATATGCAAGGCAATGTAGGCTAAAAATGCTAACCCAAAGGATTCCACAATGAACATGAGATCCTAAAAACGCCATTTCCTAGAGAAACTACATATATATACATAGATATAGATATATCTATCTATCTATAGATAGATAGATAGATATATCTTCATGCCTTTCCTTTCTGGGACCCAGAGCTGTCCAGCAACCTCCGCTGCTGAGAGCTTGGCCAAGAACAGGAAGGACGCCCAAAATATGTCTGAGCAACCACAGTGGGTGCCAGAATATTCCTGATCCCCACTCACAGGAAGTCCCCCAGGCTCTCCCTGGGAGCCCGTTTACACTGGCTTTAGACACAACCCTAAGAAACTTGGCAGTGCTGTTCCCAAGCCTGGAGTAGAAGCAGCAGCTGGGAAGAAAACTGAAAAGGGACTAATGCCTTCGCTGACAAGAAGAGATGAGAGAAAAAGCTCAAGAGCAGGCAGAAGACAAAAGCTTAGAGTGTAAGGCCATTTTGATTAAGGAGAGCCACCTCTACCCATCTAGTCATTATGACAAAGTTGAGTGATGTTTGTGATCCTCTATTAAAGAGCATACAGTTTTGAAAGGTTTGCATCCAAAGTGGCTCAAATAAAAAATGTTGTCACTTAAAGAAGTAAAACCGTGAAGAACCTGGGAAAACTCAGCTATGCAAAAGGCTTTTCTGTCCAGCCAGAGAAAAAGAAGAGACTGTTTAAGGTATTCTCATCCTCCCAGATTCTGCCCTGCCTTTCTAACCTGCGTAACAGAACAGTTACCTTATTTCAATGATCATACAAAGGACGGCAAAAATTACCTGTTAGACGTGAAAGTGCCTTACCACCATGAAAGTTGATCACTGGGATCAGATGTTTTCATTGTTTTCCTTTTATATCTGAGCTGTTATCACTGTGCCCCCAGATTTTATATCTTGGTTTTACACACAAGAGAAAACCTCCTTTGAACCCCATTATCTGTCATGGGAAGACTGAAGGGTTTGGGGTCACTTGGCTCACTCTCTGTGGCCCCTAAATGATGAGGCATAATGCTAAGGAGTATGTCAGATAGTTGCTCACCACACCTAGCCTGGAAGGGAAGGAGCTATTCCAGAGCCCCCAGCACACTCCACCCCTACTCCCGGCCTCCACAACCAACAGACACTAACAGTAACCGTAAGAAACGCTGTGCACTGTGACTCTCACTCTGGCATCTTTAACTTCCTTGGAACACCCACAACTATTTGCTCGTAGAAACCATTGTCATTAAGATCGTGTTGCCACGAAGGCCCTTTCCTTCCCACGCCCTTCCCATCTTTGATTCCTTTCTGCTCTCCTTACCTTGTGTTTTGCCCTCACCAATCATGTCCATCTGTTAAATAGCGTAGGACAAGCAAACACACAGGGCAAGTGTTTGCAGACCTGCCTCCTGAACTGCTCCCACACGCAGTGGAATTTCAGTTCCAAAGAGGTGCATTTGCTGTCGCCAGTGCAGAAGGTGTTCAGGGGCGAGGTCACGTTCTCAGCTCCTTTGCTGCCAGCCCACACCTACACGGGCAGCTGAACATCATGCTGATGCTGACAACCTTTGTAAAATACACATTTCAGTATAATAACTGGGATATATTTTCTTTTTACGGTTACTCACAGGGTTGAAATATGCCATGTGCTGCTTGCCTATGTTTTTTTTTTTAAATCACAAATGTTTGTCTGAAGAAAGAATTTGGCACACACTTCACAGTCACAGCACTATAAATAAGGTGCACATTGAAAGGAAATTATATTCTTTAAATCATAGAAACTGATAGACTATTATGAAACACACTTGCAGGATTACTGTAATGACATTTATCCTTAATATGACTTCAGAGTGCTTCAGTGGAAAAGGCTGTAATAAATAATGTCTGCCCCAAAGTTTAGGAACTCAGCATTTTTCTTTGGAGGGAGCTAGGTTTAAGAAAACCTTGAAATATGCGCTTAACTACTCTTTGTTTTTCAGCATGCACATCTCTGAAAGCCAACAAGAATTCTTCAGAATGCTGGATGAAAAAATTGAAAAGGTAAGAAGTAAAATAAATTACATGTTTCAAGGGAAAAAAGCGAATTGTATCCTGAGTTGAGGTAACAGTATTCTGGTTTCTGTCTTTACAAAGCTATTCTTGTAAGGGGATGGGGAGAGAGTTAAAACAAAAATGCACAACCCCCCCAAAAAAAAATGTGGCCATGAGAATGTTTAATGTATAATAGAGCTTCCCAGAATCCTGGGCTGCTGTCGATCATTAATTAAGGTGTGTAAAGCCAGATAGAGACTGAGAAGAGCCTTTGCCTAGAGACAGAGCGTTGAGCTATCGCTGCATGTTGTCTGCACTGATGCCCTGCTCCGACCGCAGACTGCCGGCAAGAAGGCCCTTAGTACCTGCCCAAGCTTAGCAACTACCTGTGCCAACTACCTGCCCAACGCTGCTCTGAGTTCTTTACAAACATCGCATGCATGTTGCAATCAGTACCTTCCTTGGGAAGTGACCGTGAGACAGGTGTTGTCTGCGTTTCACAGACAGGGAAACTGAGGCTCAGAATGCTTGAGTAACTTACCCAGGTTTGCAAGGCTAGTAGTGGACAATTTGGAATTCTGGCCCATGTCTGACTGCAACACACAGTCTCCAACTTGCTTCTCTAGGGCCGTGTGGATTTACATTGACAGAAAGATGCAAAGTTGGTCCATGTGGAAACTGAGCTCATACTTCTGATCTCAGAGTGCCATATGCTAATCAACTGAATGAAGTATGGAATATGGTAATAATTAAAGGCTTGCTCATCACTGCAGAGGGGTGAATTTTAAATACTGAAGTTATAAATCTGAGTATTATAATTTGAAAACCTTTTTCTTGAAGAAGAGTAAAATCCTAAATTCAGAACATGCCACAACTAGAGTTAAGGCATCATGGGCCAAGTTTACCTTTGACATTTTTTCCATTTAAATTTGTATTTCTTTTGTGCTTTTTGTGAACCTTTTATCTGAGCATTTCTTTGTGAATTCCTACGTTATGATATGTATCACTCAGTGGAAGATAATGAAGCAGGTCTTAAATTCATCAGTATTTCAGCAACAGACCCCAATCTGAGGTGGACCCCCCCAAGAGAATAATTGTATAATCTTCTAATGCACAATTAAGAGACCAGCATGTGTACTAATGTGAAAAATAGAGATGGGTAAGGAAGTAAAATGGTGGTTTAATCTGTAGTGTTCTTGGCTGTGCATAAATACTCATTTGAGTGTAATTTTTTTTTAGTGAAATTTTGGCTTTTGCATGACTTTTTAGATTGAAAACTTCATGTAGGAATAATTACCAAGTTTCACATGTTGGTTTAAAAGCTGTTTAACTTGCTGATAACATTTTGTTTTAGTAAAGAGAAGCGTAAAAAGCAATATTTTGTTCCCACTATAATGGTGAAGATCTTTTCTTTCTCAGTTTGTTCACGTTTTTTTTCCTCCGCTAGCCTTTTGGCAATAAAAAGATCTGCTTAAGTAGTTAGAGGTAGTCTAAAAATTGAAATCTGAATTCTGAGTTATCTTTTTAAACATCTACAAACTCTGACAAGGCATTTAAGATAATCCAGTCCCTTTCCAGTGTGTTTCTATGATTGAAATGCTCTCTCTTTTTACTCAAAACTGAAATTCATTGTTCCCATCTGAAACCCGATTTCCCTTTTCCCTTTTGCATCCCCATTGTAGCCTGTGATGTGTTTACACAACAAAAGCTGTTTATAACTTGGTCATTTATTGAATGGAACCTTCCCTGGACAAAGGCACATTTGCACACTCAGCATAAACTGTTCCCACTTTTGAATACATTTATATCAAAGAAGAGCTGTTACATCGTTTGTGACATGCACCCAGTTACAGATTTCTAGGGAGTTTTCTATCCTCTCTGAATCAAGCTTTCCTGTTTCTCCTCTCTCATCTAAAGTTCATCCTTCTGAATATTGTGAATATGCTATCCCATGCATCGTTTAACCATTAACCCTCCAAAAATTAAAATGTTTTCCTAATATATGTGTTTGGCTTAACCTAATCTTCACCGTTGAAAGTTGAATTCTTACAAATTATTTTCCTGACTTTTTACCATTGCAGAAGATTTCTTTGGTCGAGGCTAGCATGAGGACAACCATACATGCAACTCAGATCTATTCTTTAGGTTTTTTTCTTTTTTTTTTAAGATTTTATTTTTGCTTTTTCTCCCCAAATTCCCCATGGTACATAGTTGTGTATTTTTAGTTGTGGGTCCTTCTAGTTGTGGCATGTGGGATGCCGCCCCAACATGGCCTGATGAGTGGTGCCATGTCCGCGCCCAGGATATGAACCAGCAAAACCCTGGGCCACCGAAGCAGAGCGCTCGAACTTAACCACTCAGCCACGGGGCCAGCCCTATTCTTTAGGTTTTTATAGGGTTCATTTCAAAAATAAATTTGAACTCAGAGCTTCATGCTGAAAATTGAAGTCATTCTGAGAAGCCTTGAGTTTTGAGGTTTATTCTCTCTCAGAAATCTCTACGAATTCTTTGTTTCTTCCTTAAATTGATAAGAAGCAAAACTGACCCAACTTGTGGAGATTTAAGCCTGCCCTTCCTTGATTCATCCTTTGTGATTTATTGAATATCTACATTTCATGGCTTGAGTTTACTTTTGAACTCCCCTCTTGATGCCAAAGAAATCTCTGCTGTGTCTCTCTCAAGACAGATGTAAAGGCACCATTAGGATAAAGAAACTAGGGCTATCAGGGTAGTTTAATACTTGTAGGGAAGCTTAATTCGGACTACTCTCATTCAGAGATTGTCCTGGTGCTGAGCTGCAGTGTCCCTTTGTACCACAGCTGGACAAGTGGTTTTCTAAGAAATTGATGGTGACAAAGAAAAGCAAATAGTAAAAGTGCATTAAAAAAATTTATTTCGCACTTATTGAGTACCAGACATCATGCCAGTTACTCAGGATACAAAAATAGATGGGAAGTATGGGACACAAAATAAATAGGAGACAGTCTCTTGCCTTGAGGAGCTCAATTTTAAAAGTGAATTTCTCTAAAAATGTAATTGTTTTACTTATTGAGGAGTCCTTCCTCCATCACCCCCTGCCCCCTGTTGTCACTGTGAGTAGGTCCCCCTGTATTGACCACGAGTGTTTGTTGGGTCAGGCGTTGAAACTTGAGGTCTGTTAACCAGGCAGTTGGGACAGCTCTGTGGACACGGCATACCATTTCGCTGTGCTGGTGTGCAGAAGGCCAGGACGCTGAGCTGGATCCCAAGATGACCAAGGTAGAGATTTTGTCAGGAGAGCAATGGAAGTTCAAAGCTTTATCACCTCTGCTGTATTTACTTTTGCTTTTCCTTTTGGAGAGTAAAAATCCTGTGGGAGTGCCTCATTGATTTCTACCTCATTAATTTTTACTCTGATATTTTACCATTATTCCACTGGAATCTGTAGTTGTCGCTGTGTCCAACAATTCACACTCTCCTAAACCTTATGGGAACGGTGACATTTGCCTAATTTGGCAGCTTAAAGAAAATGACAGTTTACTGCAGAGCAAGATAGTGATTTTCAACTCTAGTCTTTCATTGTATTTAGATTATTAAAACTTGGCCTTGAGGAGGAGTTTCTGTATATAGTGCCAAATACAGATCACGTAAGATTTTAAGACATGCTTTCTACTGTACATTTGAGTTTGCTTGTAAGAAGCAGAAATAGTAAATACATATTTTTAAGTATCTGCAATAACACTGTCTTCTCCAGGCAAAAACAGGAATTTATATTTTATGAGGACGTAAGAACAGCTGACGGCCGAGAAGTCTTCTGCCTTCTGAAAGACAACGCTAAATTTTAAATAAAAAAGTCTCAATTCTGTGCTATTTGCATCTGGTTAGTTTTTCTCATGCAAGACCTCTTAAGCTTTGTTGGGTCATGGGCATCTTTTTGGAATCATATAAAAGTTATAAAGATTGTCCCTATAAAAAATGCATATGATATCATATACATAAAATTCTTAAGTAAAATTTCAGGGTTTTATAATTCACTAGAGCCTGTCCTTGGGCCCCAGGCAGAGAACCTGTAGATTTCGTTATGATGCATTTCATTGATGTGCTTCCCTGGGATCCGGGGCCCAACTGCACCCGTGAGCACTCTTGAGTCTCACCAGCACCCTCATCCATGTATATCTCTGACTTTAAAGAGGGTTAGGAAACAGTGCCCATGACCCCATCCAAAACCATCCTCCTTTCCTTCCTACTTCTTAAAAATAGCTCGTAGTACTTCACCCCCTGAGGGTGTGTCATCAGCGTGCCTACTGTAGCTCACATGTTCCTATATGGTTTTGAGACTCTGCCTCTGTTGACTGGAATTATTCAGTGTGAAATTTTTGAGAAAATGTCTGAGAAAGAGCAGTATGTGGATTTAAAATCAGCTGATTTTAAAAGATTATTTGTTTATCTGTAGACCTCTGCATCTATTGAAAACTTATTTACACTTAGAAAATGTTTGGGTGCTAATCTAGTTGGTGAGGAAGATCATGGAAAATCTACATTTATACATTTATTTTCGAGGGCTCCTCCTCTTAATGTCACATCTGATTGGTCTGACTCACATTATGAATCAGTGTGTCAGAAACCAGAAAGTGTTTGCTCTTCATCTGGTGAAGAGAGTGACGCGGGTAATTGTGAACTGTGATGTTTGGTTCCCTCTCTAAACTCTTCCTGTAGGAGACTCTTTAACCTCAGAGCTGCCGTGGAACCAAGTGAAATACTTGGCAGACGCAACTGATGATGGGTTTTACTTTCTGGTGGTGTGTTTAAAGGCCTCCTCAGTGCCTGCTACTGATGAGAAAACCTGGGACTGCTGTATCAAATCCTAAAGAATGTTAGACTGCCTGCCCCGTGGATGCAGAGGAAGTCATAGCTTGTCGCTCCCACCCAGCAGGTTGTCACTCAGTAACTACCAAGTCACTCAACACTGGCGGAGAGATGCTCTTGCTGACTGAGGATTTTGGAAGTGGGCTGGGCTGCCCATCTCATTG